CGCAAAGTTAGTGTGGTGCGAGTACGAGAGAGACAAGTAATATTAGGAAGAAAGAGAAAGAACGATTGAGTTAAACCAATGAGAAGGGGCAAGGTGGGGACGACGACGATGAAGACGGGTGTTGGTTAAGAGATAAAAAGCTCGCAGCAACATTCGAAGTCACGTAGAACACGTTCGATGCTCGTACAGTTCACACGCGTTCTCGTTTTTATTCGTTCTTTCGCTTTTTAATATACGCGAACAGATTTGACAATGTAAAAGAGTACATGTTACTATTGTAGTAGAACAGTGATGATTTATATTTTTTTCTTTATTATTCTACAATCGTGAGTCTGATTGTTTTTTTTTTATTATTTATCTTTAATGCATTGTGCATTAATGAAAGAAAACTATAAACAATTAAATTGGATGCATAATCGAGTAAGTGAGATTTTTCTTTCGTTTTGTTTTCTTCGATGATCAAGAGTGACACAAAGTGAGTTTGAAGAAACGATCGAAGAATTCAATTTTCATTAAATAAAATAAGAAGAAAAAGAAGAAGAAGAAGATATACGATTAAACTTTAGTTTTGAACGTTTAACGATTTCAAGTGAAAGTTTCTTACCTGAGATTTTCACTGAACGTTCGTCGTCCTTTTATTCCGTCCAGTTAACGTGTCTCATCTCTTTACCGTGATCGACTTTCGAAAGAGAAAACTAACGGGGATTACAAAAAAAAGAAACAACTCTTGGAACGATGGTGCAACAAGAAACGAAGGGGGAACTAGAGACCGGCAACGTGAACGAGTCCGCAAGATATTTTCGTTATCTTAGGACTCTGGCAGATCTTACAGCCATGGCCAGTATCGTTGCGGTCCAGGTAACTTATCCTGTTTATTTTATTTTGTTTTATTTTCACAAAGCTGTTACGCTAGATCAAAAAAATCCAACCGATATAAATAATAATTATCGGGACTGGTTTATAAAATTAATTACTAACTATTTAAGATAATTATAATGTTTATTCTAACGTTCTATTTTTCATTTCTCTTTGTAGAAATCATAGATTTCCCTGTCATATTTCATTGTTTTTTCTTCTTTATTTTGATTAATTATTTTCGGTTCAATGCACTTTTCGTTTGAAAGATAAACGCAATCGGTCAAAAACGATTTTTTTTTCAATGTCGAACCGATCACAGACGCCCGTATTTACATACTATCGTTTGTCTTATCTAATACGCACAATTTATCGTTAATCTCGTACAAATCTCAGTGCCATGGCCATATGTTGTGACTATTACCTTTCTCTCTTTCTCTCTCATACGTTTACGTTGTTTTACCGCACACGATTTCGAAAGCTATCGATCGTATTGAGTTACCGAAGGCCGTCCTTACTTGATAGTTCACTAGATTTTGCGAGTTAAACACGTTCGACAAAATCGATCAATCGTTTGTATTCTAAAAGCAAATCAAAAGCGATAAAGAGAGAGAGAGAGAGAGAGAGATCAAGTTTGTTTGAGAATTATTGTTGAGCTTTGGATGACTTTAACGATTCTGTTGCTTTTGGGATTCACTGAAGTAAACCATTTTCATCGAATAGTTAGCATGTTCATTGTTGTTGGAAACGTTCAAACATTTGATTAAACCCTTATTCAAATCAACGTAAAGAATAACAACAACAACAACAACAAAATCAGAAGTTGGTTCCTTACAAAATTCTATTCTCGTACGTTTTTTCTTATACGTTGAGAACAACAGCGAGAGAAAAGATATTTAATCTTTGATAATATAGATAATCATTATTTTATCAATAAGTTGTTTTTTGAAGTATACTTACATTTTTTGATGTAATTATTAAATATAAACACGAACAGATATTAAAAATATATTTCTTTGAAATCGATGTTACCGAAAATCGATATTGATCGTGATAAAGATAGAATATCGCATTTATAACGTGATAATTGTTAGACGATTCTAATCGATAAATTTTCATTTTCAAATATATTTCATTTTATCTTGTTGTTTCTTTTAATTCGTTCAAATATACGAAGAAAATTAATGAGTGATTCTATGTAATGGTATCAATATTAAATTTATTTCAATAATAATGAAAATACATTATTCATTCTCACTTTATGTAATTAATTTCCTTTTTTTTTTTATAAACGAAGAAAAAAAACATTTACTAGGATTTATGTTTTTATATATGTTCGACAATGATGAATTTTAAATTACTTCGATTTGATTTACATTTTCATAAATACTCGCTTATGTGAATCTCATTTGAGAAAAGATAATTACGGTATCGGTGAACTTCGAAGACCCGGAATACTGTGAACGATAACGAAATATACAACTTGTGTAATCAAAGCTACTTTACTATCTAAGGAAATTCATTATGCACGTTTGTAAGCGTCAGCGTTCGAGAACGATGACTCGTCGTCGTTTGTCTCGTGCAACGATCAAATCGAAGGTCAGCATTTAAAATTCATTTACGCCTGTGAATATTTTGATACAGTTACATGTTTCCTTGCATCATATGCATATATGATATATATATATATAAATGTATATAATACTTGATTATAATTATAACGTTAATCTTCGCAAACATCTCGATTCTTATTGTTCTAATTGTTATTCATAATAACGCATATACAATTTCTTATTAAGGAAAAATATATTGATGCGAATTCATTAAGATAAGAAAATGATAATATTGATAGAGGTACGATGCTTTTCCTATTTTTCTATCTGAAAAATTTATGAATTCATCTCTTTTTTGTCCATTATTTTTAATGTTACAGATTTTTATTGTAAACAGGTATATGACTTTGATTCATCGTAGTTGAACGATGACGTCTTTATAATGAGACCATCGATTGGTTGAGCATTGATGCTTGATGTAATTAAGAATTTCCTGTATTATTAACGATCGCGAGATCGTTAGAATATTATTCATCGTACTTAGAAAATTGTTTTGATATTTCCAGTTTGTCACACACAAGTACACACCTTACGAAGAATCTCGTTTTATTTATCTGTTATAGATATTTCTTGATATATATATATGTATTTTTTTTATTTTTTTTTTCATTTAACTTTATTTTGATAACGATTTCTTATTACTCATTAAAGTATGTAAACGAAGATATCTGAAAGTGTAATTTATTTAAATGATTTCAATAAGTAATGTTAAAACATATAGAAGTGTTTTTTTTTCTACCGATAAACTTTTTTCATCTTTAATCTAGCTGCTTTTTTCTTTTATCACGTTTTTACGATTTCCATTGATTGGTTAACGGAACTACAAATGTCGTGACTTTCAAACCTGTTTCTTTAGAGAGAGAAAAAATGTACATTTTTGTATCATCACTTTTTTTTTTTGATAGTATCTTCAAGCAATAACTCAAAATAGTTAATCAATGTTTAAACCATAAACTTGAACGTATCTTTTACTCAATATTTGTTAATAATCCTATCAATTGTTTACGGTCCACAATATCGTCTGTAATCGTCTTAAAAAGATCGATCGTTTGATAATATACCCTTATCATCTTATATTTTCTCAGATATTTATAGTCATATGTGTGTCCGACCTTATCAACCTTGTCAATACTTAAACAATCGTTTAAAGTGAATATATATTTAAAAAAATGACACAAAATTGAACTACTACAGTAAACCTTTTTTTCCTCATATTGTATTGTCGATATTTTCATGTTCCATTGTTTGAAAAAGGAAAGTTGAGAAATTTTGTAGGAAGTGACACGTTCCATTTACTACTTACCTATTGATGCTTCTTCCTCAGACTCTTCTTCCTTTCTCTCTATCAACGGCCGCATTTTCTTTACTTACGACGAGTTGGAAAACCTACTGTCGCGATACTTCATCATCGTTTTAGATGAGAGAGTTGATCCTGAAAGTAGGTCGAATTCACTTTGTGTGTTGCCTGCGTCATCGCGTGTAACGATGCATATCAAATTTGGAAATTGTACTTGTCATCGATACACATGTCTACTTATATACTTCTTTTCTTTTTGCTTTCATCAATATCGCAAAGACTGATAAGAATATTACAATCGAATATTATTAACATTTTTATATCCTTATCTGTCGTTTAGAAAGAAATTTCATTTAATTTCTCTAATTATATGGTGTGAGATGAAAAAGATTATTTAATTACAAGATCGAGGGATTAATAAGCGTGTTAAACAGATTTGATAATACAGGTTGTTACTCCCAAAGGAGTACGAAAGAAATATTTTATTCGTATTTTTTATTTTATTTTATAATGAACGATGTAATTTGAATTTTGTTTAAAAGAATAAAATGATGATTGTCGGATAAGAAATTCGATAAGGAGCTTTTAGGCTTTAAGAATTAAATACTTTCTATTTTTATTCTTTTTTTTAAACATTCTTTCGTATACTTTAGTTGATTCCTTTTTCTTTATCTGTTTTTTTTTATTTCTTTTTTCTTTTTTTTTTTGTATACGTATAATACATGTGCGGGTGTATAAATATGAAATGCAAAACAACGCGATTTCAACGTAAATATCGTAAATTTACCAAGATAATGTTCTGCGTCTTCTTTGTCAATCGAAAACTAAACCGAAGTTGGTTTCTTGGTCCTAGCAAACGAAACGTTGAAATTTTTCAGATAACTTTGTGTATCTTAAATCATTCCTGTCAACGAATTTAGCATTTTTAGGGAATTTTTTTTTCTTTTTTATTCTTTCTTTTCAATGATATTCTTTTTTTTATAATAATGTACGTTATTAAAGAAATAGAATCTTTTCTAATATGATAATAGGTAAAATCAAATTATGGTTTTAAATTAGCTGAAATCTTTAATAATAAAGATTAATTTATATTAAAATTTTAATAAAATTGTTATATTAAAAGTTAACACTTATAATTAAGAATAAACAATTTTATACACGATTACAAAATGATACAATATTTTTAAAGATACTYGATTACCAATTACTTAATCTTATTTTTTTTTTAATTATAGTTCAAGAGAATGCTGAACAAGGAACTCCTTCATTTCTCGGAATCGTCCAAATCCGGGAATCAAATATCTGAATATATCTGCAACACTTTCCTTGGTAAGTATTTCTAATAGAATATTTCTTTAAATTATTATTCAATTGTATAAAAAACGTTCTATCTTTCGTTTTATCTTTTTTCCAACTAAATTCGATTATCATCATCATCATCATCATCATCATGTATGAATTTACATACAGTTTTCTCATTCTTTCCTTTTACTTTTAATAGAACTGACAATGAGAAAAAGAAAGAGAGAGAATAAGAGAGAAAATGAGATGAAAGTGGGGATAGTCGAGGCCGTGGAATCCGAGTTTAAACGAAGACGTCAAAAGCAAACGATCTATATTTCTTTCTTTTTTTCTTTCTCTGTCTTTTTCTTTCATTTTTTCACTCTTTTGACGCATTGAGAGCCCTTGAAATTGCGATTTATATAGCAATGCACGATTATAATCTCCTTCCTCTTACGCACTCGATCCAAATACTTCGAGATCTACTTTTTTTTTTGCATCACAATTTGAAAAGTATAACCAGATAATTGATCTAATGAGCTTTACTTGATTTCCTATATTTTTATCTTATTGCAAACGATAATTTTTTTCTTTTGTTGCGCACATAATTTGGCCGTTATCGTAGAAATGAAAAAATATAATTAAGACGACAGATAGAAGACGTTATTATTTATAGATAGGTATACTTAAGTATGATAGAGTCGATAAGAACAACAACAAAGATAAGACCACAAAATAAGAGAGAGAGAAATCTTAAAGTAATTTTTTTTTCTTTTTTTTAAATTGAAGTATCTTACATTAAAAAATAAATTAACAAATATAATACTGTATATATATACTAGGATGCTCCTGCCACGCGTTGCTGTAGTTTTGTTATAAAATATTAATTTCATATAAATGTAAGCTATTTAATGCAATCCAATTAATATTCACTAATACTTTCTGGGAATTCAAATTAAGCATAAAACAGCAGAAAATTTTTAATATATATAATATATAATATATAAATAACAACACATACAATAATATCACAATTAGAATTGAATACATAAAATAATAATACAGGAAAAAATATAAAAAGCAAGGTTAGTTATGTCATATGTAAGTCTGAAAAAACGTGTGATGTGTATATCGAAATAACTGAACTGTAACACAGTGCTATTTATTGAAAACTTACAGTACCTAGAGACCTAGATAACCTCTAAATAATACATCCTTAAATTAGCAATAAAAAATAGAAATAATCGCGATAAAAACTTATCCTATATGCTAAGTTTAAGAAAATTACACAAAATAAAAACAATTTCATTAAGATCAGTTCAGTAGTTTCAAAGTTAATTGGAAATCAACAATGTGACACTGAATTTTTATATATATAAGGAAGATAAATATGAATATGGTGAATTTCTCAAACAAGAATCATTTCTTTTTGTAATAAAATATATGTTAACAAATTGACATGAAAATAATTTTAATAAATTTTTCTAGACAAACAGCAGGAACTCGATTTGCCATCTTTGCGGATCGAAGATGCGGTTGCAGCGGCCGGAAGTGTGGACGCACGTGCTGCCAAAAAGAAAGACAGAGTACAGAGGGGTCCAGCTTCTATGTCGCATATTAGTGGCGTTAAAAGGCCACTTACGCACACAAATAGCTTCACGGGAGAAAGAGTACCTCCTTATGGAGTGGAGACCCCATACGAGGAGGGACTTGGCAAGGTTTGTTTATTTATTAATTGTTCTATTTATAATTTGTAATTTTTTCGTTTTATTTTTTACAAATTTATTATTTTACGTTAATTCAATTACATATAATACGACTGTTCTCTTATTTATTAAAATCTTAAGTAGGACGACGTATTATTAATTATCTTCCATTTACTTTCAATAGAAATATCTATTTATATATATATAAGACATATATAGTTATTATATTCATTCTATGAATTAAGTTATCCATTCAAAACCCACGCAATTGTAGTAAATCCCTAATCATGTCCGGCTTTCATTCATTCAGATATATATTTCATTGGTATTCACTAATCTAATATTAATCCTATTGAGCGAATTTGTAATAAGCATAGACGTTTATTCTCTTAAAGAGAAGTCAACTTTAATTGGCTAAAACAATAGATTTTATCAAAAAACAAAAAACTTCAATATACAATAATATTAAACATGAATATACAATAAATTTTTAACTATTGTGTTTTTAATTAATTGAAACATTTTTACAATTAACGTTTATACAGAAATATTTCGAAATATTTTTACGTAGAAATATATATATATGTATTGATACATAGAAAATGAAAATACTTTTCACGATTACTAGAAAATAGTTTTAATTATTATCTTAAAAAAAAAAAAAAAATAAAGAAAAAATAAAACTCGTTATACTCGTAAAGAAACGATCGTTTGTTTCCAATAGCAGTGGAATATCATAGCGTATAACTTAATTCCTCTATTTGTTTTTTTTTTTTTGTTTAACTTCGTTTATAATTTTTCGATCTCGACGATTTTTCCGGGAATTTCGACGCAAGCAAATTCAATTCGAATAGAGCCAGCTACGCGGATTGGTTTATTTCTTATTCCAAAAATAAAAACAACAACTTTTATTTTCTTATATCTTTCTTTCTCTTTTATTCTCTCGAAAATCGTCATTTCGTTTATTCGCGTGTTTGCTAAAAAGACTATGGAGAAATGCTTAAGACTGTAGGAGGTAGCATTACGAAAATTCAGTTTGGAAAATTACAATGACACGTGCGATTTGTGTGTACAAATATTTACAACGTGCCTCCGTTTTACCAAAGAATTACAAGCGCGACAAAGAGGGGTCCGGGGAAGGGGGAAAGGGTTGGGGGAGAGGGGAAAGGTGAATCGCGTGCTACGCGACAAGGTCTATCAGATTAGAGAGATTAGCAAATCGTATGTTTTCTTTTTCTTTTTTTTTCTTTTGTTTTGTTTAGTTTTCTTTGTTATTTGTTTTCTTTCACGGCCGAGGATAATCAGATAAAATAATTTTATGAAACAAAATTTTCCCCCATATTAAATTTTTTCTACGTTTTCTATACTTTAGATGTTAGGTAGAGAGAATGTAAAAATTATTGTCATTAGTCATATAAGTAATAAAAGTATAGCAGGCGTATCGAGTTCGATAGCAGTCTAACTATGGGGGGAGAGGGGGAAAGGTGAGAAAATACGTACGTGACAGCCGGCACATGCGATAATAGGAATTTAGAGAAACGAAATGTTTGCATTGGCCCCGCAATAGGTCATGTCGCGGTTAGTTATAGATATGAATTGGCAAAATCATTTGGAACGTGGTCGTGCAAGCCTAACCGATAACTCCAAATATAATAGTTACACATAAAACAAAAAAAAAAACAAAAAATACGAAAAAGGAAAAAAAACACATTAAAAATGAAAATAAGTAATTCGTATGAATCATTGCTTTTTTCCAATTGTTTCTTTAGTTTTATTATTTATTTTTTATTTTTTATTTCTACTTCTTTCTTTCGATACTTTTATAAATCTTATAAATATTTTATTGTCAATCGACGTATATGATCTCGTAAATTTGTTGGCATCATAGTAGGACCGATCGTTTTTTTTCTCAAGATGAAAATAATGTTTGTTTCACGTTTCTACAACATCGAGAACGAAACGAGCCTTGCATGTGTTATGCTAATCGAGTATGCGCGTTCCATAATGACGCGGAGAGGATCTTTTTAGAAGAATCGCGTAACGTTCAGATTTTATTTTCTTTTAAAAAAGGACTGGTCCGATTTATCCAAGCGAGAAAACAAATCGGATTAACACCCACTTGACAATGATTCGTACGAACAAAACCAGTGTAGTCTTCTTCTCGATGACTTTATTTGGTGTTGTGTGCCTCTCTTGGGATCGATCGAACGTCTTATCATTTGTTCGCTTCGTTGAACTATACGAGAATAAAAATAGATACTGGAAAAATTAATCGCGCCGAAAAAAAACATCAATATATATATTTTATATTTATTTATTTTTATATTTTTTTATTTATTTTATTTATTTATATCTTTCAATTTCCTTATATTCATTATATTCATAAATGCATATTCCTATTAATATTTTTTTCGATCCTAATCTTATTATATTTTAGAAATGAATTCATATTTTCCAAAATATAATTATTTAATATATAATATGTTAGTATATAATAATGTTTAGTATATATAATCTAAAATATATTTTTCCTGTTACATATTTTTAATAAATATTTTGTAATATTATTTTCAGTTATTGTCGGACATCGATAAGTGGGGTATCGATATCTTCAGGATAGGCGAGCTCAGTAATAATCGACCTCTCACCTGCGTCGCGTATACAGCCTTCCAAAGTCGAGATTTATTGAAATCATTGGCAATACCGCCGAAAATCTTCGTTACCTTCATGATGACACTTGAGGATCATTATGTGAAGGATAACCCCTTCCACAACAGTCTTCATGCCGCCGATGTGACCCAATCCACTCACACACTACTCAACACACCTGCCCTCGAGGTAAATAAAATTAATTCGATGTTTCGATTAATAAAACTATTAAAAATTATATAAGAAGAGAATCATATAAATTTTCTAATGAATATTTTACAGTCTGTGTTTACGCCGTTGGAGATTACAGCGGCTTTGTTTGCGGCCACAATCCATGACGTGGATCATCCCGGGCTAACGAATCAGTTCCTTATCAATTCGAGTGAGTTATTAAAAATGTCATATAATCGATACCAATTTAAATTATGTTCGTAATAATAATGTATTTTGTAATAATTATAGGCTCTGAGCTCGCTCTGATGTACAACGATGAATCCGTATTAGAAAATCACCACCTTGCGGTGGCATTCAAGCTTCTGCAGAACGAAGGTTGCGACATCTTCGTGAACATGACGAAAAAGCAAAGGCAAACATTGAGGAAGATGGTAATCGACATGGTCCTATCGACTGACATGTCGAAACACATGTCCCTGTTGGCCGATTTGAAGACGATGGTGGAAACGAAGAAAGTCGCTGGTTCTGGAGTATTATTGTTAGACAATTATACGGATCGCATACAGGTGTTGGAAAATCTCGTTCATTGTGCTGACCTATCTAATCCAACTAAACCATTGCCACTCTATCGACGATGGGTGAGCCTGTTGATGGAGGAGTTCTTCCTTCAGGGTGACCGAGAACGTGAACAGAACATGGACATCAGTCCAATGTGCGATAGGCACAGCGCAACTATCGAAAAGTCGCAGGTCGGCTTTATCGATTACATCGTGCATCCCCTTTGGGAAACCTGGGCCGATTTGGTGCATCCCGATGCTCAGGAAATTTTGGATACATTGGAGGAAAATAGAGATTGGTATCAGTCGATGATTCCACCCTCACCGCCGTCCGACGACCAACAGCAGCAACAGCAGCAGCAAGGTGGAAACGATCAGGATAAGAAACATTTTCAAATGACTTTGGAAGAAGGTGACGAGAGCGGAGAAACGTTGGAAGGTAATGACGGTGATGACGATGGTGGTAATAATGGTAACAGCGGCGGCGACAGAGGAGGTGGCGAAGGCGGTGGTGAGACAACATTTTCGTGTGGGGACGCGGGCGTTGATAACGATGATAACGCAGCAGATGCTGGAATGTGACGGAGGCTCGCCGGTATCTGCAAGAAACTCCACGAGAAGGTTCAGCAGACTTGGTGGCGCGTGCGTCAGTGACACGAGCACGAGCAGGATCCGCGTTGGCTGCAGGTCGCGGTGTTGCTCTGCTGTCGAAAGCGACGACGATGAAGTGATCATCCTTGTGTCCTTGGAATTCTAAGTACGCTCGAAGCTGCCTAGACTGATAACATAGAGAGAGAGAGAGAGAGAGAGAAAGAGAGAGAGAGGGCTAGGCTTAGTCATTTGCGATGACCAAAGATGATGGCTTGGCCAAGACTGCATAGTGCCAAATTTCTTGGCACTGAAAAGGAGAGAATGGCAAGAAGAAGAGTAATTACAAAAAAAAGAAAAAGAAAAATGAAAAAAAAAAAAAGAAAAAAATGACCATCACTACTCTCCCCCTTGTTACTCGCCCTGGGTTTTATTTTTCTTGTTGTTGTTACCAACACTGGAAAAAGCAACAGCAACATTAACAACAATAACAGCAGCAGCACCACCACTACCAATACCAATACCACCACCATCACCACCACCACCACCACCACTAACACCAACATCACCGCCGTTGTCTATCGTCGCTCAAAGATTTAATATAACGTGACGATGACAGTTCCTTGTCGACAAATCATCCTAAAAAAGCGAAATGCTCTCTCTCTCTTTCTCTCTCTCTCTCTCTTCTCTCTTTCTTCTCCTGTCTTTCTTTTCCTGTATTTTCCTGTCTCTCGTACGCGAAAGTTACGGATCGTTCGTGACTTATCTTTTCGGGCTGGATTAGAATGAAAGAAGAAGAAAAAAAAGAAGAAGAAGAAGAAAAAGAAAAAGAAAAAGAAAAAGAAAAAGAAAAAGAAAAAGAAAAAGAAGAAAAACGATCTTCGATCAACGGAGAAGCGTTGGCGGCTGGTCCGAAACGCGCCGCGTTCGAAGGAATACGAGAAACGATTTGTCCTGGACGAGATATTACACAGTATTGTCGCCGCCATGTGCGAAGAATATTTTGTCCTCGTCGTTATCGTCATCGTCCTCCTCATCGTGTTACTCCATTACCTTTTATTTTGTTTAGTTTACTTCTTGCCTTTTTATCCTTTCGTTATGTTGTTTCCCATCGGTCTCGATCTCACCGAGGAAATATTATTTTTGAAAGCAGCGTTTTGCATTTTATCCTCTCTATCTATTTATCTATCTATCTCTATCTATTCCTATCTTTATCCTTCTATTGAAGTTAAAGTAATAATAAATGGAGGAGATGAATCTCTTTCTTCATAATGTACCTGCGCAAACTAAGCGAGATTTTGTTTTTTCACTATTTGTCGACAATCGGTCGATGCTCTCGAAGAAAAAAAAGATAAAGAATAAGAAGAAAATGATAATGATGAGGATAAGGAAAGAAGAACAAGAAGAAGAATAAGATGATATTGATGATGATGATGATGATGATAATGATGATGAAGTTAGAAAGGGAGTTTATACTTGTTACGTGCTACGCATAAACCAAGGGCACTAAAACTTCGCTTGGGTTAAAAGACGAAGATTAAAAATCGCACAGGATCCTCAACGACATATCAAAACATTGAACGGTACAATAATGGTGTACGATTTTATTCCGATTGACTCGAGTTGGATTTAGCGGGCTCGATTAATATTGTATTAATATATCTATCTATATAATATATATTTATATATATGTATACATATATATTATATACATATATATCATCTCTTTCTCTCTGTCTAATACGATCGAAACAAATTGCAGAACTTTTCCACGAAAGGGTTTGTTTAGATGTGATGATTATCCTGAAAGAAAGATAAAAAAAACAAATACATACAAAAATGCAATAGTGTTGGAACTCAAAGTACAAAATAAGAGAAAGAAAAAAAAGTATTAATGAACCATAAAAAGGAAAGAACCATTGCTCTCGGTGCACACTTTTATTGTAGCGCACACGAAAAAGTTAATAATAATAATAATAATATTAATAATATTAATAATAATAATATTAATAATAATAATAATATTAATAATAATAATAAACAAACAAAAAGTGAAATGATAAAATGGACCACCAAATTTGAAAAAATCGCAGAACGAAAACGGTATTTTGTTTAAAAATTTGTTACGTACACGAAGTATTATATAATGCGATATAAAATCTTTATATTTTTTTTTTTCATTTTTGGTTATTTCAATGAAAATAATTAATAGCAGTATTTATCTTAAATGAATGTAAAGATTTTGCCATAATTAGTTATCAGTTGCACATAAATTGTAAATTTCTTCGTAAAAAAGCAAAACAGTCACGTTTTAAAACGAAGAATGACAGCTCATATTGATAAATGAATTTAACAAACAAAAAATCAATAATAAGAGGAAAGAAAGAGAGAGACAGAGAGAAAGAGAGAAAGAGAGAGAGAGAGAGAGAGACAGACAGACAGACAGAAATGTTCAAAAGACGAAAGAAACAGAGGGGGGGGGAAAGACTATGCGAGCGAGAAAAATGTTATTATAGATGAAAAAGATGGATGGTTAATTTTAATATATAACTGCGTTTTAAAAGAGCTGGACTTGTTAGGTTTGTATTAAAATTAATTCACATTCGAACTCGCGACGAGGAAAAAAGAAAAAAGAAACACATAAGAAACGACAAAAAAAAAAAATAAAAATGCTTTCTTCTTGCGAATCAAAATGAAAAATAACATTTGAGAACGCGTGACATGACACACATACATTAAAAAAAAAAAATTACATAATATACATATACGCTCTTTTGTACACTTTTCGCGCTATTTCTTACACAGGACGAGAGACACAGACCGTATATAAAGATATATACACACATATTATACAAAAAATAATTAAAAAAAAAAAAAATAATATTAACAAAACAAAAAAAAATTATGTAAACGCGTGTAGAAAGAGAGAGACATCAAATATCACGAGTAATCATGCATTCTAATAATTAACAAAATACGCTAAATAAAAATTGTAATTTAAAAAATTGACGAAGACGCGCGACCATAAAGCGCAGGAAGTCTTAAAATGAGAAGTAAAAATTCTTTCTAACCAAAGAGTAATATTAGTGATGATTGTTGTTGAAAACAAAAAAAAAAAAAAAGAACAAAAAAAGAAAAGAAAAGAAAGGTCGATCATCATCGAGTACGCCATTATTATTACCGATAACGTTTCACGCCACGCCACGGAACCACGTATTTTTCTCTTTCCTGGCTTGTAGCGATCGATAGAAAATTATAATGGAAAAGGACCTGTAAATGTGTTTATAGAACACAAATGCCCGCCCCCCAACCTCTCCCCCCGCCACTGCAGATCGATGTATTATTATGGCAAACAAAAATGTCACCAACAGATATAAGGGAGAAAAAAGGAAAAATAGTTAAAAAAAAATTAAAAAGAAAAAAAAAAAGAAATAAAATATAGACACAACTTCGCTTTAATGTCTTTGTGAATCCACTCGAACTTTTCTCTGAGTTGTTCACGTTCGACGTTCGAGACGATCTTCGCGTGACACACATATATATATATATATATATATATATATATATAAAGATCTGATTTCAAAGTCTAGTCGATGTTTGACGTTTGATTCATATGTAGACAGAAAAGGAAAGAAAGGGGAAGGAATGAAGACAAAATTCATGATCTTCTGAACGTCGATCGTTTAGTATTTTTTCAATGTAAAAGCGTGCGTTGATCCTTCAAAATCGTATTATTTTCTTTCGAAAAGAGTCGTTCGTAATTCGCTTCGATTAAGTAGTCATTCAAAGATTAGTCATTATAAAGTTAAGGATTTACTATATAATAGAAAAAAAAAAAGATGGAAAAAACTCAAAATAATAATCGAGGCACATACGAACGATCATTGTATTATATCGTAGTAGTGAAATCAATTTTGAAAGAAGGAGGAATAACAGAAAAAAGAAAAAAAAATGAAAACGTCTTATACATATTTAATAGATAGTAAGTTCCTCTACCTGTCGTGCGTGAAACGCGTAAGGGATTATAATGATGATAATGATGCTGATGATCGAGGAAGAAAAAAAAACTTATAAAAAAGATGAAAAAAAAAAGCGAAAAAGAATTTGAGGAGGAGACTCATGTGTGCGTGTGTGTGCGTATGCGTGTGCGTGTGTGTATGTATGTGTGTGGTATCTCTTTTTGGTCCACGTAATCGTATCAACTATCGAGAACGAAAAAAATCTGTATCTGTGTCCGTAGACAGTGATTTAGTGAGTGTTTTGGTGCTGGCCACCAAGCTTAGATTATTAAAAATTTAATTATAAGATTTACGAAGTACACGATTAGATTGTAAGCTGAAGAAAAAAAAAATCAACTTAACGAAGTTTCTTAGGGCATAAGCAACGAGGTTATAAAGATTAATAATTATCTATTAACACAAAAGAACTGAGGTCAGGAAACCAAAAAATAAACAAGAATAAAAAAGAGTATAGCATGAAGGGAGAAAAGAAAGTAAAAAAGATAGAATAAAAAAAAAACAATGTAATTAACTTCGTTGTCGTCGTTAAGTGACGGAAGATCGAAAAAAAAGATAACAACTGGAAGTTAGTAGTAAAATTTAAAATGAATCGTCCGATGTGTCTGAGACGACGTTGTGTTAATTAGTTATCGTGGAATACGTTTAAGAGATAATTTTAATGATAATATAATGGAAACAATATCGTGAATGCGCAGGTACAATTTATTATGCACCCAAAACTTCCAAACTCTCATAATCGTTTTATCAATTGTTCATTGCGAATGTAAAGAAAAAAAGGGTACGAACAGTATTAAAAATTAAAAAAGAAAATAGGTTAAACAACTAATAATGGAACAACAACAAMAAAATTATGCCCTTTTAAAAAGCATTGAAAAGCGCGACGTTTTTATTCTTTCATTTCTTCGGGTGATTCGAGACTACTTTAGATTAATGACAATGTTTTACAAAGTGTGACAATTACCGATAACTTCCTGAGGAATGATAGTAAACACAGCGATGATGATGTTGATGATGATGATTTTTGACGATAATAATGGATGACAATGATGATAATGATGATGATGATGATAATGATAATCACGGTGACAAGAAAAAATTAAAAATACAACGTGTTTGATTGCTGGACAGTTAAATGAACATGTATTAATATCGTGTAACCCTCGTACGAAATATATGTGTAATAAAAACATATTTATTGTCGGAACTTGCTTTTTCTATGGGTCATTTCTTTCATTGCTCTAAATATTTCTTTTTCAATCACATTACCTTCCTTTTCCTTACTTCTAAGGTGATATATTTGAGAGAAAAAAAAAACGAAAAAGAAAAAACGTGGATCACAACATTTATCCAGATAGGACGAAATAAAACGATTACTTTGGCTTAATATTATTTGTAAATATATTATTGAGTAACATCTATAATATAATAATGAAAAACCATTTACATTAATAAGTATTATCGTAATATTTTAATCCGATAGTAAAACATTCAGTATGTAGAGATTTTTGGTGGCTTTTAAGCGTGGATTTTTTTGTTCTTATTCTTGTTGTTTATTTTTTTTTTTTTTTATTTTCATTTTCTTTTTAGTATAATAGTACCTTTTTAATCGAGTCTGACAGTGCAGAGAAAACTTGTACCAATTTTTTTTCTAATTCTTTCACCATTTCTTCATTAATCTTAATCTTTCATCTTACCGATATTACGTACAACACGTACACATTTTTCTCAACATTCATTTCTCTTTCTTTCATAAACACACATTTCTGTTTTCTTTCTCTCTCTCGCTTTTTATTTCTCTCGAA